CAGCCACAAGGTGTTTCCTAGCATTCAGAGTTAGACAGGATCTATTTCTGAAAAAGAAAGTCAGTTTAACTTTCAGATTCCTTACTAGGTTTTCCATGTGGAGCTTAAAAGAGAGATGTGAATCGATCAAGATACTCAAATATTTGTAGGAATTTACAAACTCAATAGGGACACCATTCGAGGACAAAATCAAAGGAAGAACTGCTGGGCCTGACTTACTGTTTGAAAAAAAGCATCCATTTGATTTTGTTGGTGTTTAGGACCACCTTGCGATGAAACAAATCTGACTGGATGATGTCAAAGACGAATTGCAAAAGCTGGAAAACCTTATCAACTGTTTAAGCTCGACAATAAACAACTGTGTCATCAGCATAGAAATGTAAGGATGCATCAGGGATGGTATGACCTTCACTACCTATGTAGATTGTGAAGAGGGTGGGTCCTAAGACAGAGCCTTGTGGTACACCATTGTTGACTGTTAAATAACTGGTGGAAGTACCATTATGTTGAATACATTGCCTCCAATCTGAAAGATAGTGAGAACCAACCAATGATGTGTTTGAGAAACCAATTTCTGAGAAATTATGACATAAGATGACATGGTCTACAGTGTCAAAAGTACTGTGCTTTGTCATTTATATGTGCCCACCTCTTGCTATGTGATAAATAAAGTTCTGCAAATTCATACATTTTAGAAGGTGTGCAAAGCCCCAAAATAATAGGATTGGATCATGTGTTTATTGTCATGTCAGGAGAAGTCTTTAGGAGTAGCTCCTTTTTGGTGTTGTCTCTGTTCAGAGATTTAAAACAGTTCTCCCGTATCTGAGAAGAAATCTGCCGGAAGTCACAGAATCCCAGTTTATCTCGGCTAATTGTGCTTGTGTGTGTCCCTGTGTTCCAAAGAAGGAGGTGACTTGAGAGCGAACCAGATGCCACGAGACACAGCACGTCAGGACACGAGAGGGGAAGAAAGACGCAAGCAAGACTGACAGACACAACACAAACATCTTGCAACAAACACACAACCCAAGTGCTTACACGGTAATGTCTGAAAATAAACAGATTGAAACACAGAGGGCATAGGTGACGTTTAATCTTTCTGTCGTATATGTGCCAAAAGGCATACGTCAAGGGTGTTCAGACCTTGTGTTTGCTGTTTTTAGCTGAAAAAGACGAAGAAATTATAAACCGAACTACACAACTTTAATGTTTTATCATTAGCTTGACTGAAGAAAGCTAGTTTTATTGTGAAAAGGGTGAGAATGATCCAGTTTTGCCATATGAGATACAACTCAATTTTAAGGAGGTGATAAAAAAGGTTTGTGACCTTCCCAAAATTAAAGTCACCCCCCACCCCCCCTTTGATTTGCAAGCCACAACCAGTGTTGTTTGGGGGAGTGAGTGGGTGGTCTGTTACTCAGTTTATGCAGGACTCTCTCCACAAACAGCCTAAATTTACATGTTTTTAATGGCTGTTGTGTCCACTTGCTGTTTTAAATCAGGAGATGAGTTTTAACCTCAAGGACTCACAGGCGAGGGCATGCGCTCAGGGCAACTGCCTTAGCATAAAAAGAGAGGAGAAAATAGACATCCTTGAGAGCAAAATTGACAATGTATGAAAGAATAATACAAACAGAAGCAATGTTAACCTTAATAATGGACAAGTTCAAATAAATATGAGAGATACTTGAGCTTGTTTCACCCTTTCTGCTCCATTCTGATACAGAGTAGGTCTTCTCTGGCATTTCAAGGGCATTTACCTTTAATGAGATCTCTGGTGAACAGAGAAGTGATTAGTGCAAAAGCACAATGTCTTGTAACCCTACATATTATTTTTTATAAAGACTGTTGAAGTATCAGGAGATCTGGTAACTGCGTAACTGAGAGCTTTGATGTTTTTTTTCCTCAGTTGACCGTTTAGTAACCATCGAAATATGATGGTTACCTGAACAATGAGTCGTTACTACAGATTGTGTAAAAAAACAGTTTTTGCTGTATTTGAATTTTTAACCAAATTCAACAAACAGCACATTTTATAGCTTAAATCAGCTAATACTTCTGTTCATTAGATAGCTCATTTTATGTTGAGAAAGGTCAGGAAAAACAAATTTGATGAAACTTTATAATCACATGGGCTGTCCCATAATTTTGCACAATCTCTTAGCACTCAAAGTATATGTTGTGAGTGACTGTCGGCTACTACCACATCAAGTTTTAGCTCAATAGCTGCAAAACTGACCAAGTTTTTTTGATTGCTAAGATTGATTGGCTATGGCCACCATTTGAATTGGGATGATCCTATAGTTAATCAGTTGTATGTATACAACCAGTGATTACTTTCATGGAGTTATGAAATAATTTATCCCGTTGTTCTAATAAACGAAAATAAACGTCTCAGTTTCTCTAATACTCCCTCAACATACGGAATGACCACTGGTCTGGATCTGGGTTCCTCCTTTTCACCTGATGGCTGACTGGAGTCCTGTTTGGGTTTCTTCTCTGCTTTCAGGAAGGCCCAGTTAGGATATCCACATTGCTCTAGAGCCTGTTTTGTGTGGGATTTCTCCTTCTGCCTGGCTCCTGAGTTAGTGGGGACACTGTCTGCTCTGTGGTACAGAGTCCTGATGACTCCTAACTTGTGCTCCAAAGGGTGATGGGAGTCAAACTGCA